ATAAACAAGATTCCAAAACAAAGTTCTTATCAAACAGTTACTTTTAGAGGGTGGGGGTATTTTTGGGAAAATTTAACCAAAACTGTTGTCCTCTAAACATGCGCCAACAGCCGGCAAACGTCGTGCCGCTTACCTTCATGTGGTTCTTTGAGGGTTGTTGGGGAAATTCACGACGCAGAAGCTGGTAGAAGTCTTGAATTACGACGCAGAGACTGTGCGGCAGCGCACTTATTCCCGGATCCGTGAAAAGGGCATAGAAGAAGCGTTCCGCGGTGCTGATCAGCGTGGGAATCACGCAGGGCTCTGGCGTCGCGACATCAAGCGCATTGTTTGCGGTGACCTCCAGCCTCGAGTCACCTCGGTCCATTTCGCGAGGCAGCTTAAGAGAGGGGAGGAGTGGGGAAATAATTAAAGCGGATGCAAGACCCAGTCCGAAGGAGATTTGTGGACAGTTGGGTAGCAAATAATTTACTTCCCATACATTATTTAAATAGACTAGTGTTTTCGCAACAAAAAGCGCGCTATAAATAAAAAGGAAAACTTAATAACTTACATGTTTCCTTGCTTACAGTTTATTTCATTTTTATGGGCAGTTTTAGTTTTGTTTTCAGTTTTTTATTAAAGTTTTATTAGAGATTTAGATTTCTTTTTGGTCAATTTAGTTTATTTTATTGAAGATTACCTTTGCTTGGTTAGTTTAATCAGGTCATAGTTTACTTTTACGTTTAGTTTTAGATTTATTAGCGACATGTGGTTGCTTTCGGAGTTAAAGGTTTTACTAGTGTACTTGATCTTAGTTCAGTCAGCTGGGTTTATCTAATTTATTTATATTATAGTTCAATTTTTAGTTCATTATTATCTTTTATTACCTTGATTTTAGATTAGTTTTAGTTTAGTGAGGCAGCTTAGGACGGGTAGGGAGGATGGAAGAAATAATTGAAGCGGATGCAAAACCCAGCCTGAGGGAAATTTATGGGCAGTTGCAAAATGCAACTGGCTTTTTGAAGAGACAGTGTTCTTCCCGGAGTGGGACAGAAGGTTATGCACGGGCCTGCGCAGTTGCCACCGTTCCTCTTAACTAGTTTTAAGATTAAATATGGGAACGTCTTCTGCTTTGAGGCTTTCGAGCAGTCAGCATTACAGGGTGAAAGGGGGGAAAAGTACGGGTTATTGTTTTACTTCCTCATCTACTCACCGTCCTTCAGACTCCTGAATATTCTGGACTTGTCATCTATGATCGGAAATAAGCAAAACCAGCCAAAATTGAAGTCCATCGATCGGTGAGATAGAAAACAGATGTCGATTGCAATCCTGATGATCCCCTATCGAGGAGCTTGCCAGAGAAACTTCATACGAATAGGTATTCAGACGGGTTGTGTAGTGATAATTCCATGTAACACGTTTTTATGTACACAATAGTTCTTATTCTATGCTGATTACTTACCAAAATAATAACGGCATCAGCGTTAAACGGTCTAACACGTAACTCAAGGCTTC